TCGCCCCCTGCAAGCTTCTAACGCAGTGAAACCTCTCCTGGGGTTACGTCAAGGCCGCCGTCCTGTTTCTGAGTACGCCCTGGAGTTCCGGATCCTGGCGACTCAAACGAGGTGGGACGAACTTGCTCTCCAAGGTGCGTTTCTGAACTCTCTCTCCGACCAGATAAAGGACCAAATTGCTGCACGAGACGAACCGAAAGGGTTCGACCAACTAATCGAAATGGCCATATCCATTGATGACCGCTTCCGGGAACAGAGGCGAGAACGGGACTACAACCCCCAGAAACCTTCCACTTCCGGGTTCGCGGCCCCTTCATGTGAACCTAGTTATTTTAAGACAGCGAAAGAAAGTTATCAAATGCAAACGTCCCTGGTTATTAATCCTCCTTGTTTGTCTCCCCAGACCAAACTTCCCGTGCCTCCCGAGCCAGAACCCATGCAGATTGGGCGAACACGGTTGACTTTTGAAGAGCGAGAGCGCCATAGAAACGCTAACCTCTGCATTTACTGTGGCAACCCCGGTCATTATTTACCTCTCTGCCCGTTTCGGGGGAAACGAGCAAGCCCACCAGTAAAGCGGGAGATACTGGTGGGAAACTCAGCTCTTACCTCCCCATTTAAACTCCTCTTGCCCACAGTTATTCAAATAAACGGTTCTCGTGTCCCCTTATTGGCCCTGGTTGATTCAGGCGCCAAACAGAACCTCATCAGTTCGGACCTGGTCAACAAATATTCTTTACCCACTCGCGAAATCACTCCTATTTCTGTTTCCGGTGTAACTGGTGAAACGTTGGCGCTCATCCAACGAAAAACCATCGAGCTTCACTTAATCATCTCAGGCAACCACCATGAGATGACTGATTTCTTTGTGTTTGACTCCTCCGTTTCTCAGATTATTTTAGATTTTCCCTGGCTGAAGACACACAACCCAGACATTAATTGGGAGCTAGGGCGAGTAGAGAAGTGGAGCAATAAGTGCCTTAAAAACTGTCTACGCTCCGCAATCGCCAGGCAGCCAGTGGTCACTCCTCCTAGTGAGGAGGTAGATCTCTCCGCTGTTCCCACTGCCTACCACGACCTCGCGTTGGCGTTCAGCAAACAGAGAGCCTTATCACTCCCTACTCACCGTCCCTATGACTGTGCCATTGACTTACTCCCTGGCGCCCCCTTGCCGTCTAGCCGACTTTATAATCTCTCGGGCCCCGAGAGGGTTTCCATGAAAGAATATATCAACGAGTCCCTCGACTCTGGTATTATTCGCCCCTCCACGTCTCCCGTCGGTGCAGGTTTCTTCTTTGTTTCCAAGAAAGATAAAACCTTACGTCCCTGCATCGACTATCGTGGCTTGAACAGTATCACTGTTAAAAATAAATATCCACTCCCTTTAATCAACTCTCTCCATGAGCAGTTACAGTCTGCCACCATTTTTACTAAATTGGATTTGAGAAATGCTTACCACCTCGTTCGCATAAGAGAAGGCAACGAGTGGAAAACAGCATTTAAAACACCCCTCGGCCATTTTGAATATTTAGTTATGCCTTTTGGTTTAACAAATGCCCCCGCGGTTTTTCTGGCCCTCGTGAACGATGTATTGCGCGACTTCATCGGCGATTTTGTGTTTGTTTACCTCGACGATATCCTAATTTTTTCCCGTGATCCCTCTCTGCATGCGGGACAGGTAAGGAAGGTCCTCCAGAGGTTACTGGAGAACCAGTTATTCGTGAAAGCCGAGAAGTGCCAATTCAATGTACCCTCGGTTCCCTTCCTTGGTTTCATTTTTGGGGGAGGCCACTGCAAGACCGACCCAGAAAAGACAAGAGCTGTGGTCGAGTGGCCTACCCCCGAGTCCAGGAAACAATTGCAACGCTTCCTGGGCTTCGTAAATTTTTATAGGCGCTTTATTAAAGATTACAGTCGAGTGGCCGCCCCACTTTCTCAGCTCACCTCTACCTCCAGACTATTTATATGGTCACCTGAGGCTGAGACTGCTTTTCTTAAATTTAAAACATTATTTTCTTCTGCGCCCGTCCTCTCCCACCCTGATCCACATCGACAGTTTGTCCTCGAGGTTGACGCTTCGGATACAGGGGTAGGGGCGGTGCTGTCCCAACGATCCTCGGAGGACAACAAGGTCCATCCCTGCGCTTTTTTTTCAAAACGCTTGTCCCAAGCAGAGCGAAACTACGACGTGGGAAACCGTGAACTCTTGGCAGTAAAGCTGGCCCTGGAGGAATGGCGGCACTGGCTGGAGGGCACGGAGACCCCGTTCTTGATTTGGACCGATCATAAAAACTTGACTTATCTGCGGGACGCTAAATGCCTGAACCCCCGCCAGGCACGATGGTCATCATTTTTTTGCCAGGTTCAACTACGTCCTCACTTTCAGGCCAGGCTCAAAAACGTCAAGCCGGATGCGCTGTCCCACCAGTTTGCCCCCCCTGACAACACGGAGACCGAGGAGACCATCCTTCCCACCACCTGCATCGTTTGGGCCCTCACGTGGCCCATCGAAGAGGAAATCAGGGAGGCCTGGAAGGTGGAACCGGACTCGGGTGGCGGCCCCCCTGGAACCTTGTTCGTGTCTACCGCTCTACGCCCAAAGGTACTACACTGGATTCATAATAACAAACTCTCGTGTCATCCGGGTTCCACCCGCATGATCTCCCTGGCCAGGACTCACTTCTGGTGGCCAGCCATGTCTGCGGACGTATGAGAGTTCGTTGCCGCCTGCCCCACGTGCGCCCGCAATAAAATGGGTACCCAACCCCCCTCCGGCCTCCTGCAACCCCTGCCCACCCCGAGTCATCCATGGTCCCACATCTCGTTGGACTTTGTTACCGGACTTCCACCCTCTGAAGATAACACGGTCATTCTAACTATAATCGATAGCTTTTCCAAAGCGGTCCACTTCGTCCCTCTGTTTAAGCTCCCCTCTGCGATGGAGACGGCGCACCTGTTGATGCAGCACATGGTCCGCCTGCACGGTATCCCCTTGGACATCGTGTCGGACCGCGGACCACAGTTCATGTCCCAGGTTTGGCGCTCTTTCTGCAGGATGCTGGGAGCCACCACCAGTCTCACCTCAGGCTACCATCCTCAGTCGAATGGCCAGGCTGAACGGGCCAACCAAGAACTGGAGTCCATCCTGCGTTGCATGGCAGAAAAGGACCCGTCAGCCTGGAGTCACCATTTGGCTTGGGTTGAGTACGCCCACAACACCCATCGCTCCACCGCCACTGGCCTGTCTCCTTTCGAAGCCTCCCTAGGCTACCTACCTCCCCTGTTCCCCGGCCAAGAGGTAGACTGCGCGGTACCCTCCGTGCAGCATCATTTCAGACGGTGCCGTAGGGTCTGGTGCCAGGTGTGGTCCGCACTCCTCCGCACGGCCACCCAGACAAAGAAAGCAGCTGACCATCACCGTTCCTCGGCCCCTCACTACCAGGTGGGCCAAGAAGTGTGGCTGTCCACCCGGGACATTCCCCTCAAGGACACCCCCCGGAAGATGGCACCACGCTTCATCGGCCCATTCCCCATCATCCAGCTCATCAGCCCCTCTGCGGTGAGGCTGCAGCTCCCCAGGACCATGAGGATCCACCCGACCTTTCATGTGCCCCAGGTCAAGCCAGTCCTCACCAGCCCTCTGTGTCCTCCCTCTGACCTCCCTCCTCCACCCCGCCTGATCGACAACCACCCTGCGTTCACTGTCCGATCCATCCGCGACGTGCGACGCAGGGGCCGAGGATTCCAGTACCTCGTCGATTGGGAGGGGTACGGTCCTGAGGAGAGGTCATGGATTCCCCGGTCTTTCATGCTCGACCCCAGCCTCATCACCTCCTTCTTTAAGAATCACCCCGAGAAGCGCTTCAGGTCGCCTGGAGGCGATTCTTGGGGGGGGGGGGGGGGGTACTGTAAGAGTACCACTGCCTGCAGCTCCTACTCCAAGATGGCCGCTAATTGCCCACACCTGATGGCCATTAGACTGAGGAGGCAACTAATCAGTAACAAAACAGAAAACATTCTTGTCTGTACCAAAAACTCTCTTTCAAAATCAGAAAATCTTCTCATCCCCCTTAACAACTCTCTGCTATCCCCCTCGCCTCAGGTCAAGAGTCTTGGTGTCATCCTCGACACCACTCTCTCCTTCACTTCACACATCGACAACGTCACTTGGTCTGCCTATTTCCATCTCCGAAGTAATAACCGTCTCCGCCCTTCTCACACAATCCTTGTTCCCAGTCTTGTGACTTCCCGGATTGACTACTGCAACTCCCTTCTTTATGGCCTCCCCAACAAATCTCTCCAGAAGCTGCAATTGGTCCAGAACTCAGCTGCCCATGTAATCACTCAAACCTCCTCCTATAACCACATCACTCCAGTCCTGCAGCAGCTCCACTGGCTCCCGGTTAAATCACGCATCATCTTCAAAAGTCTTCTTCTCACTTTCAAAGCTATCCACAACCTTGCCCCTCCGTACCTATCTGACCTCTTACACATCTCCATCCCCTCTAGCTCTCTCAGATCCTCCTCTTCACTACATCTCCATGTACCCTCTGCCCGCCTCTCCACCATGGGGAGCAGGGCCTTCACCTGCTCTGCTCCTCATCTCTGGAACTCTCTACCCCCTGACTTAAGAAACACCACCTCTCTTTCTATATTCATAACTGCTCTGAAAACACATCTCTTTAGACTCGCTTATCCTTAACTTTGCTGTATGTATTTTATGTTCTTTATGCATTTTATATTCTGTATGTATTTTATATTCTTTATGTAATTTATTCCTGTTGATCTTTGTTCTTACTGTAAAGTGTCCTTGGGTGTCATGAAAGGCGCTTTTTAAATAAAATGATGATTATTATTATTATTATTAGTGTGAATGCACCCTAAGAAAGGAATGGATTAGCTGTTAGGACAAAAACAGATTTTATTTATATATATAAATGACAGACATCGCCTGATGCAAATAGAAAATGCGTAAAAAATGACTCTTCTGTTCCCTGCAGGGTCGACAGAATGATGGTAGTGGCAGGAGACTACTCTTTGTCTGTTTACGAGGGCACAGAACAAGAAGTCTTTCCACAGTTTTTGGTGCCACACCCTCAATTTAACTCCCAAACCAACAACTACGACGTCATGCTCATTAAGGTACATAACGTGAACCTTCTGTCTTCTTTATTTTTCTAATCCTATTGGTTTTAGTCATTGATTCTTTATTTGTTCACCTAACACTTTACCCACTTTTTCTCCAGCTGAGGTCCCCCGTCTATCTGAACGACTATGTTTCCATCATTCTGCTGCCCAGATATGACGCAGCTATACCAGCGGGCACAACGTGTCGCGTGTCAGGATGGGGATATACCAGCCCCACTGGGGGCACGATTCCCTCCACCCTTCGGACCGTGACACTTCCCATTATTTCCTCAGCTAAATGTAACAGCTCTGCATCCTTTAATGGTAGAATCACAGAAAACATGATGTGTGCTGGTTATGATCTGGGTGGAAAGGATGCCTGTCAGGTGAGGTCCTCTGTAATTTTCTGCAGAAATAAGATAAGGACAGTTTTACAAAATGCGCTGGATTTAAATATACAGTATCTTTCATTACAAAAAAGTAATGACTTCTGCATTGGCTTTACTCTACACTACTCAATGTTTCTTTCCTCTTTTATTATTTTTTTGTTGTTTTTTTCCAGCCTTTTACAAATGTTAAGTTGGTGTATTTGTGCTTGGTAATGCACACAAAAGCCACAAATCAACTTTCATTTCATTCAAAAGCATACAAAAAACTGTTTGTTGTTTTTAATGCAACTTTTGTTATAGTACAATTTTGTCATGAAGTTAGAGCAATGTTTTTTATAGCAGTAATTTGAAGCAGTAAACTAAAACGTAAACATTCACAATTATATTGCAGTAGAAAAACATTCTGACACAACTAAAACTGAATTTCATTGCAACTACACTCACTGACAACAAAAGGTTAGGCATCCATCACGAGTGGTAAAAAATAAATAAAAGTGCACATGCTTGAAGGTCTTAGAGGCGACAATATTGTAATGATACCAATTTCAGAACAAATGGACATACTGGTGTCTCATATTAGTAGGCTGCAAAACCCCCAATCAGACCTGGATACAAGATGCAGTTCACTGTGAAGTTTGGTCAAATAGCATACCTTTTGGAAAAAGCATTCATGCATTTGATGTTGCTGATGCTGTTCTGTAAGGAACCACTGAATCAGAGATGACCTAAGATCAGATCTTAAGGCTTGGTTGTGTTTTTCCCAGTAAGTACTGTTTAACTACCCATTAGCTCTCGATTAGTTTCTCTTTGGTTTCCTTGGTAACTATCCATTAGTTCTTGATTAGTTCCTCTTCATTTACAAGGTAACTAACCAGTAGTCCCCTAATAAGGCTTGGCTGTGTGTTCCCCAGTAAGTACTGGTTACAGATCTGGTTGGCAGGCCACAGAATGACAAAGTCCTCTGGATGGGGGACAAAATGTTTCTTCACTTAAAGAAACAGGTCCAGATGACATGATTTAGCCATTTTTGACCTTATCGTAAAGTGTTACCAAAGATCTTTATTTTGTGTGCTTATTGTCTGTCTGATTTTTTTTCTTTTTTTCAGGGAGACTCAGGCGGCCCTCTTGTGTGCGATGGCCGGGCCTATGGAGTGGTGTCATGGGGAATAGGTTGTGCCGAGGCACAGTTTCCTGGAGTCTACACAGCCATGTCCAAATTCCGCAGATGGATAGACACCACCATATTTAGCTACTACAGCAAATGTAATATTATTTAGAGCGCAGTGCTAACTCACTGCTGCCTTGACTTTCTTATTTTACTTGGGCCTTCTTTGATCTAATTTCAATTTATCATGTGCATTTATGAGTTTAGGTATAGGTCTACATTTTGGGAAATAGTCCAAATTGCTGATGGGGTTGAATAAAAGACATCATGTATCTACATCAAACAGCTATAACTTTAGGACCACTGCCAGTAAAATGAGTAAAAATGCAAACTGTTATCTTGGCAGGACATAAGTAGTGTTTGATAAAAAAGCACGATAAACTTGATCTTCATGTTTAGTGGTTGGTCATCATGTTGTAGCTAACCGATGTGTATGTTAAACATAAAGCAACAGTTTAAGACTATTGGTTGTGAGTACATAGATAAGCTAAGAAGTAAAAACTGGAAAATGGGATTTTTGCTAGCCTTGCGCTAAGCTAACCCTGTTTATTGTTTATGTTGAAATGGCATAAAAGTAGCAATTTCAACCTTTATATTTACCCAAACATTAAGCCATTTCTTTATGTTTAAAAGAAGTCATGCCAGGGATTTATCTAAATAAAGTGCTTCCTAAACTAAACCAGTGATGGATAAATCCACCAAACAACTTCAGGCTAACTGGAAAATGCTAACAGGTAACCAAATTTCCAAAACATCAAGACAAAAGTGCCATATTTCTGTCACTCAAAACAACAGCTTTTCAAGGTTCATGATGCATGTCTAAAAGGCAGTAAAGTGCACTCATGATTTAAAACATAACAATTAACTAGCTACATTGCTACAACTCTCAAACACATTATCATATAGTTTACTGGACTGCATGACCCAACGTGTACGTGTGGATAAAAAGACCAGGACTAAAGTTCAAATGTCCAATGAAGATACATCAGCTCAACTGCCACATTAAAAAAGCTTTAGCATTTGTGTTTATTTCTTAGTTGTTATGTCACAGCAGTTATCTCTACAACTAGACTTTGCATGGTTAAAACATATTTCTTATTTTTTCGTAAAGTTTTAGGTGTCACTGAATCAGTATTTGAACGTTGTGGCAAATTTGGTGTTCCCTTGACCTGCCCTTCCTAAAAGTTTTCTCCAAGACTGCAGTGACCCAAAGTTCCTCTGGCTATTATTCACCATGTAGAACGCCACATGTACATCTGATTGAAATCTTGCTATTGCATTCTTTTTTGCCACCTAACAAAAATATGCCACTAGGTCAGCCAATAGTTTTGTATGGCTTCAACACGTTTACTGGCTCACATCTCTACAGGTTTGAATTGTACACGCAAATATAAACTCCCCAACATGGGGACTAGTTTAAATCTAGAATTTTTGCTATCAGCTGTGGTCAGAAATTGACATAAAGAAAATGCAAAAATTTAGAAATGATCACTAATATTTGCTGATTTCCTCAAAACGTCATTGTGCTTAATGGCTGCTGAGCAAAATGTACCTTCAATGGACTCCTGACCTTTTTAGTTCCAGTCTGATTGATGCACGCTCCAAGGAATTGTGTGATTCATGGATTTCTAGTGAACAACTGCAATATTTTACTGAGTCCTATATTCAATGATAAAGAACATTTAAAATAAATTTAATGGGAATTTTTATTTGCATCTATTTTGGTAAGAAACCACTGTGAGCATTTATCATTTCCTAAGATCTCACAAACATTTTGAGTTTGTCACTGTTTAGACAAGAAATTCTTGTGTGGATGCAATTTCAGGTTTTAGGAATGGGTTTTTTATAGCATTTCATGACATAACAAACAATCTGTCAATAAAATGAATGTAATCACTGCAACAGCAATCATAAAAACACTCATAGTTGTTTCTGTCAAGTTGAAAGTAAATGAACACAACTAATTTTATAGTGTTTATATAGTGTTTGTATGTGTGTGAATGTACGTTTTATTTTTGGAGGGGTTTATTTTTGTTGGTAAGACTGAGTTTGGGTTTTGGGGTATTTCTTTTATGGAGCCGTAGTGTTATAAATCAACCATTATGCAGAAGGCACCTTGAAGAGTGAGAGTTGGGCAAACTTTTGGAATCTGGTGAAGGAAAAGGGATTGTGTGTCTTAAAACAGCAGTACTAACTGTAATGTTTTCTTGTTTTATACACACTAATAAATTACTTATCCTTCAGAAACTGTGTCTCATTTTTATGTTAAGAGGTAAAGCTGACATTTGAGCTTGAAGGCCTGCTATCACCCTTTTTATCTTTAATAACAGATCTGATAGGATGCTCAGACAGATCACACACAGTCAGTGTTGTTAGGTTATCTATATGGTTTCCAGAAGGAATTTGGGCATTTTTCTCTTTTTACAATTTTGTTTTGTTGCAGTTGTTTAAAACAAATTATCTAGTCAGTACTCATAATGATTCAAATGAAAACAAAAAATTATACAAGTTTGTAAATTTAGCAAAAATAAAAAGTAAAATGTCACATCTACTGTACATACTGGAAGTATTCAGACCCCTTACTTAGTCCTGAGTTGAAGCACCAAAGTGTTTTTTATTTTTATTTTCTCATTTATTGCTACATGCTTTGCACACCTGAATTGGGACATTTTCTACTGTCCTACTTTGCAGATTGTCTCAGACCGTTTGGTTGTGTGGGGACCATTGGTGGACAGATGTTTTCAGGTCTCAGAAATGTTTGGTAAGGTTCTAAGTCAGGGTTCTGCCTTGTCCACTCTAGGACAATCACAGTGGAGTCGGTGAGTCACTCCTGTGTTGTCTCCAGTACGTGCTTTGAGTCATTGTCAATTAGAAGGGCCTCAGAGTCGATCCTTGATGCTTTTAGTAAATTTAAATTATGTGTTACTAAGTGTAGAATAATTAAAAAATATATTTATTCCATATTATCAGGGTTCAACATAAAACTGCAAAAATTGAAGTGGACAGGAAAGGAACAGAATTCATATTTCAAAACAATCATAAATCAGTTGGAGTAAACTTTAGTCACTGTTTTCTATTAATCTAACAAATAATGAATTAACACAAAACTTGAAAAACAAAAAACAAATCTATCTATATATCTATCTACCTAATGTGTGTGTATGTATGTATATATGTATGTATATGTACACTACATTGCCAAAAGTATTTGCTCACCTGCCTTGACTCACATACGAGCTTAAGTGACATCCCATTCCTAATCCATAGGGTTCAGTGTGACGTTGGTCCACCCTTTGTAGCTAGAACAGCTTCAAGTCTTCTGGGAAGGCTGTCCACAAGGTTTAGGAGTGCGTTTATGGGGATTTTTGACCATTCTTCCAGAAGCGCATTTGTGAGGTCACATACTGATGTTGGACGAGAAGGCCTGGCTCTCAATCTCCGCTCTAATTCATCCCAAAGGTGTTCTATTGGGTTGAGGTCAGGATCTCCCATTCCATGAAGCTCTCTGCGTACTGTTCTTCAGCTAATCTGAAGGCCACATGAAGCTTGGAGGTCTGTAGTAATTGACTCTGCAGAAAGTTGGCAACCTCTTCACACTATGCGCTTCAGCATCCGCTGACTCCGCTCCGTCCATTTATGTGGCCTACCACTTCGTGGCTGAGTTGCTGTCATTCCCAAACACTTCCATTTTCTTATAATACAGCTGACAGTTGACTGTGGAATATTTAGGAGCGAGGACATTTCACAACTGGATTTGTTGCATAGGTGGCATCCTATCAGTTCCACGCTGGAATTCACTGAGCTCCCGAGAGCGACCCATTCTTTCACAAATGTTTGTAAAAACAGTCTGCATGCCTAGGTGCTTCATTTTATACACTGTGGCCATGGAAGTGATTGGAACACCTGATTCCGATACTTTGGAT